TGTGCCAACATGTCTCTCTTAATAAATTGGAAGTTTGAGGAAAGTTCTGCCTTAGACTCTGATTTAATTTTGGATGATATTTGGAACGCTGACAGCTACCTTGCTTAAAGTCATCAATTGACATTTCTTTAATTATCTTTTTCCTTTCCAAGTTAGTATAACACATGATTGAATATCTAGCCTAGATGATAAGTCATTATTTTGCTTGGGCCAAGATAGATTCTTAACATGTCCATCTATAGTCAAACTGTGCAATAGTGATTAAGTGGGTGAACTAGGGCTGGGAAGACCTAGGGTTGTCCACCTACAGCTATGGAAAAATTGGGTGAGTTTGGGGCAGTAGTTCTATATCAGACCAATCTATTTTATCATTGTTATGTGAGTAACATCAAAGAAGATTCCAATTTAAATTGCCCCAAAGTGCTGGAAAAAATATAGGATATAAAGTTAACACTTAAAGCTGACCCTACAAGTATGAGGATAAGATCAGAAATAGGATTTTCCTTAAGATGACGAGAGTTTTTCTTCTTTAAAATTACTGATTAGACAACCTCATAGAGATTTTATCTGTTTATTTTACATCAGGGGTGTCAAACTTGCGGACTGCGGGCCGGATGTGTCATGGGCTGGTTCTGCCCTCACCCGGTTTAGCGAAGGGAGGAAAAAGTCACAATACGTCATGTGAATGCCGTGATGACGTGGGTTTGACACCCCTGTTTTAGATCATCATGCTCTTCTTCTGAAAAGAATTCCAGAATGATAGAAATTCCAATTTTAATTTAATTTAAAATCTAAAAATGTAATACAATGCTATAAATTGTAGATTTATACAATGAAAAGGAGGAGCTGAAAAAGTATAAAATAACTTTCTATGTACAGTAAAAATCTCTCTTTTATTAAAGATGTTTCATACGCTGCATAACCAAAGGAAGTCTATCTGCATGTTCACTAAGACTGTAATAACTATTCTCCCCCTCATCCTGTTGCTTGTATCAGTTTTGCCTTGCAGGTACTGAAAAACTAAGATCTAAATGTAGACCTGTAAATTTCTCTGCGAGAACAGCTGTTGAAAAAGAGACTGGAAGCAGAGTAGGTGGAAAGATAATTGATTAAGGTTGTCTTTCCCATACCACCTTAACCCAAACTGAAATATATAGACAATAGGATCCAAACCAACCAATCACAAACTAGTGTCTGAACCCAGCCTGTATGAACAGCTCATGGTGTGTAGTGTGTTGTATGAATCAAATGAATGAGTGGAGTAAATTATTGTTCATTAATCACAGGGGGCAGGGGGAGATGTTATGCAAACAAAGCCAGAAGGCACTGGCATAAATCACAATGAAACAGGAGGCAGATACTTCGTGAAGCTTAGCTAGAAATATGGTGGAGAGTGAATCTCCACCGCCAACAAAAGAGGCACGTCCCAAAACATCTGAATACCTGTACAAAGTCCACGATGCTTAAGAACTGGAGATACAAGTGCCCAGAGGAAAAAGAGAAGACAAAAAAAAACAAAAAACACCCTGCAGATTCTTCATTTTTCTAGCACAAAGAACTGTACACCTGTGAAAATAAGCAAGCAGCACTACACAGAAGTTTAAACCCAATATGAATAGAATAGCATAGCATAGCATAGCATAGCATAGCATAGAATAATAGAATAGAGTAGAGTAGAGTAGAATAGAATAGAATTCTTTATTGGCCAAGTGTGATTGGACACAAGGAATTTGTCTTTGGTGCATATGCTCTCAAGGTACATAAATAAAAATAAAATAGAATACATGCATCAAGAATCATAAGATAAACAAAAACAAAATAGGGAGGGAGGGGGGTGTTAAGGGTTTTAAGGACCAAAGAGGACAAACATTTCTAGCCTCCATGAGTGCCTGGCAGACTTTTTTTTAAAATTAAAGACACACTTTGAAAACGGATCGGCCGCTTCTTTTGCGAAGCCTCACAAAAGAGCCACTTGAGACTTTCCTGAGCCCTGGGGGGAAGGGAGGTGTCTCTCTTGGAAGAAGAGGAGGAGCGGCAGCTCGGCTTCCCCGCTCCAGACACACAGCCTCCCTTACCTGTGCGCACACGTTTCGCACCGGGCCAAGGTTCTCTGGTGACACGACACGCCCCCGACCGCCCCCCTCCTCCTCTACGCTTCACCCCTGAATCCCTTTACTCGCCCCCCCGCCTTTCCACCCCGGTGCAAGAGGCAGCGGGATCTCCGTAAAGCCCTGCCCAGCTCGCCCGGCCGTCCCCGCTTTCGCTTTTCCAATCAGGAGGGGAGAACGGGAAGCTGGGAGGGATTTCCTGCTGAGCGATCCCAGGCGAGGGAGGTAGGGAGTCAGAGGGGGAAACAAGGGGAACGGGGGGAAAAGAAAAAGAAAACAAAAAGGCGGCAGAGGCGGAGGCGAACTTTCGGGCAGAGTTCCCAGGAGCCTCGCAAGCTGACCGGACGGAGTCCCCTTCCGCGGGGTGGGCGACACTGCCCTGAGGAAGCCGGAGAATGAGAAAGCGGGCGCGGGGGGCGGGAGAGACTTTTGCCCGCGGACTTCCAAACCCTCTCGCTTCTCTTCTCATCTCTTCCTTCCTTCCTCCCCGCCCGCCTTCAGCTCTCGCTCCCGGGTATAACTAGTCTTCGGCGCTCGGCAGGTCTGGGACGAGAGCGATCGAGCGAGGGAGAGAAGGAAGCCCTGGTCGCCGGGTGACGTGGAAGGCGAGGGGCAGCCGTTTCTCGCCCGGAGGAGCGGGGGAGGAAAAAGCCACCAGCCGGTGACAGGATCGCTCGCAACTTTGTGCCTGTGTGCGCGCTGGAAAACGCGTCGAGCCCCTGGATGTGGTGAGTTGTGGGAAAGGAAAGCCAAAAGGCTGGAGTTGTGGAGGGGGAAAGAAAGGGATAAATCGGCTCCAAGTTGCCGACCAAGATTTGTTTCTCTTCCCATTCCCGCCCTCGGCGCCCCTTTATTCGCCTTATTTGGGCACTTCTGTGCAGCCGACTCTGGATTTAAAAACACTCCGATTTTGCTTTCCCCCCCAAAACTGGGCTCCGTCCTTCGATCCTAGGTGTTCAAGGCGCTTGGACTGCTGGCTTGGATGTTTTCAGGCGAACTTTTCAAATGATTATATTCGCCAGGTAGATAATACCGCGCTCTGATGCGCTGTATAATGTGCGCTGGTTTATAAAACTTTTTTATCTCGAATAATTCTCGGGTTTGATTCTCTCCTGCTCTGCTGCATCTCCTTTTCCCGGATAACCCCATCCGCTTTTTTTTGGGGGGGGAGCCTCCTTTGACCCATCTAGGTGCGCTGAACTACCACTCCCATTATCCCCAACCTGTTATTGATCATGTTGGCCTGGGATTAGTTAGGGTTGTCCTGCAATGCCCCTGGAGGATCTTTAGCTTGGTGAAATTGTTTTTTTTTTAAAGGAAAAAAGAACTATAGTATATCTCCAAAGCCTCACATCTTTTTCTTTGAACTCTGACATTGCAGCATGCCTGAAAAATGACACCACTGTTGTGATACAAAAAGTTCCCCAAGTCCTACCAAGTAACCTTTGCTCTAGGCTTTGTTTTCCAGTGGAGGGAATGTTTGCCCCTTGTCTTCCCTCTCCAGGGATTGTATTTTTAAAAAATTGTTGTTTAGCATCTTTAGTCTACTGCTCACTTTCCTGGTCCCTCACCAACCAACTTTTTACACTATGCTTGAGAAAGGAAAGGAAAGGAAAATTTCAGATACTTGAGTTCAGCTGGTATAGAATCCTGAAGTGGTGTATTAGATTTCTTAAGCAAGATGGATGTTTTGAAAAAGTACTACTGAAAAAGTAGCCTGAAAAAGGTGCAAAACTGCACACCAAGTTTAACTCACTTTCTCCTGGTGAGAACACTGACTTGTAAAGGAGCACCGTTTTTGTTCATTTGTTGATCTTTATGTGCAACAGCAAAGTTCATAAGATTGCTTTAATGCAGGAGATCTCAGACTGAGTAGTATGTTTCATGCAAAAACTACAACAAAAACAATTATTTTATGTACTTTGATTGTAAGAGGCCAGGGATGAGAACAAGGGGTACAGAGATTATTTCAGATCTAAAACCTACGGAAAACTGAATAATTAGTTGAGCAGAAAGTGATCAGCCAAAAAAAGCACTCTGACAATGAAAATCCCTTTGGGGATCTATTAGCAACTCTTGCTTGATTTCTAGAATGAAATATGCCAGAGCTCATCAGTTGAGCATATGAGCCTGAAAATGGGTAGAACAGGCTTGCCTGACTTGCTTCGCAGAGAAATGTATTCTCTTCATGCATATTCTGGAGCTTCTTGCTGTTATGTTACTTATAGGAGGACTGATTACCAAAGCCAATTCTGGTTTTTGAGCAGTAACTCTAATTACTTTATTCTAAGAAGGTGCAGAATCAGCTTTTTAGAGTCCAGTTTATGTATTACTTATAATAAATATAACCTAGATGCTTTATTTGAAGTGCAGCTATGGCTTATGGTTGTGGAACTTGAGTAAATATGATCCCGTTCATAGTTTCTGGAGGAAAAAAGTTATCTCAGGGGATAACTTTTTCAGATCACATTGCGTAGTTCTGCTGAGATGGGCTCCATAAGGCAGACTTTCAATCTCAGGGATTGTGTAGGCAAACGCTTGCCATCTTGAACTGTTATGTGTGTGTGTGTGTGTGTGTGTGTGTGTGTGTGTGTGTGTGTGTGTTTAACAAGCTGTGTACCAACTATAAGTTATTGCTAGATGCCCAGATTACTAAACCATACTAATTGTGTCTCAATAATGAAAGAACAAGAGTGATCTATTATGCCCAACAGAGTCATTCTAGACACATTCTTTGAACAGAGCTGTAATATTTCATGTATATTATGGTTTTTATATGTTCTAAGTTGATTTTTTTCAGCAAATGAATAAGATGCTCTGTTGTATTCTACAATATTTGTCTATCTGTATGGCAACAAGGTAACCCCAGTTTGAATCCAATCCAAAGTGTATATGTTGATATTGTATTTTTAAATAAGATTCCGAAAGGCCTAATCCACTTAGTATTAATGGTCTGCAGTCACAGCTGCTGTAGGAGATAAATATAAATACGACTCCTTTACAGCCAGTAGGTAGTTATTCCCAAACAACATTTTGTCAAGCCAACCAGTTCAAATATTCTTCATTAATGATGTTTCAAGCTAGGTCAGCCCAGTCACCTTGTCCACAACTTACCTAAAATCTATACTCTATGGAAATTCTCTAAGGTTTTATAGTTTTCAAGGTCATCTTGATCCTGCTTACATTTACACCCAACCCATAGACCACTTGCTGGTTACTTGTTAATACTGATATGAAGGGTTTATGGTTCTGGTAATCATAGAAACTTTCATTTCATTCCGGGTAGAAACTTTGCAGAATTTCTGTTATCCGTTATTTTCAGTTGGAGTTAGTAGTGATTGAACTTGGTCACTTTTGCCCACAAAGTCCTTTGGGTCTATGCAAGTCCATTATAGCTTCAGAGAGCTCTGTGAGTTAGATCTCCCAAGTTCCAGTTTCTGAGAATTTTGGCCCTGATCCTGGATCTTTTATAATTTACCCATTTTAAGCTTCTTCCTTCATCCATAGACCATTGTACAGGCTTTCCCTCGAATAATTACTGTATGCAATTGATTATTTTTCTCCAAATATTTGCTTTCTTTTTCCTCTTCACCATTGTGTTTGTTTTATTTATTTATTCACTAGATTTATAGATCGATATTATTTATCTACAAAATTAGATCAATAATATTGATCTACAAAACCTTTAAATAAATTGTATAGTTCTAGTTATGTATCCTGTCTGCCTCTTACTTCCATACCTACAACAGCCACTGCTGTTATTATGGAGTCAAAATGTACCTCAACATCTTGTCCAACTCATTTACCAAAAATGAAAAGGACCTCTCTAACTTTAGAAGCGTAAGGGACGCAGTGGCTCAGTGGCTAAGATGCTGAGCTTGTCAATCAGAAAGTTTGGCAGTTCGAATCCCTAGCACCGAAAAATGGAGTGAGCTCCCGTTGCTTGTCCCAGCTTCTGCCAACCTGGCAGTTCAAAAGCATGTAAAAAATGCAAGTAGAAAAATAGGAACCACCTTTGGTGGGAAGGTAACAGCGTTTAGTCATGCTGACCACATGACCATGGAGATGTCTTCGGACAGCACTGGCTCTTTGGCTTTAAAACGGAGATGAGCACCACCCCTCAAGAGTCAGAAATGACTAGCACATGTGCAAGGGGAGCTTTTACCTTTACCTTTAACCTTAGAAGCAAAGTTAGACTTACTATGTCATGCCATAATACGTAAAGAATCCTCAGGCCCAAGAGGGGCTTTTAACCTGAATGAAATAAAGTGTAGAATGCTAACAAAATTCATAGTCCTCTGAAGCCCTCTGCTATGATGATCATGCCCGTTAGAAATCCAGTTCTCGTTGTACATAGAATATGAAACAAGGAACAAAACATGTTTCAATAATGTAGTAGGCTCTAAAAATGTATGGGCACAGGTCAAGGTATTTGGATTACAAAAATTGATGTCATGTCCTCCAGCCCCCTTTTTTCTACTGGTTTCATATCTCACTTTATGTGAATTTAGTTCATGTGAGATTTTCAGGGAACCTGTACTTGTTTGGAAAAATAGCAGTGCGGATGATAAAGTAGCTTCCAATAGAGAACCAGATCTTGTTTCACCTGGACAAGCAATTCATTTGTCATTTTGATCATAGCCGAGTGGTTGTTGTGGAGATGGGCAATACTAATATCAGATAAAGAACCTAGTTCATATACTAAAGCATCAGGTGGTTTTGTCTTCAGGGTCAGTAAATGATGCATGTGGTCTTTGGAGTGTTTAAGATTTTAAGAAGGAACACTAAAATATCCAATGTGTAAGCCAGCAACACATTCTTATGCAGTATGGTCATATTTTTCCTCACACGAAAGGGGGCTTGCTCTATCTCTTGAAATCAATTAAACCCGAAGCGGATTTTTATAAATAGCCTAGTTAACTCCAGGCAGAAATGTTCTAATCTGTACATTGTTAGCCTGATTTCCAACAGTAAAGATAACACATGTTCACCCCATTGTGTGTGGAGTCTTTGTGGTCGGGAAAGTTTGTTATAACATCTTCAAAATTCATTTGTAATTTTTGTTTTCTGTTCTTCACATCATTTTTGTAGCTCAATGAACCTTTCTCTCTTAACTAAATGTACACACAGGAAGGTCTCCACATTAATTTGGGAATGTGCCTTATGATGGTTGAGACTGCTGGGCAATTTTCTGCATTGCATTATGACTCAATATGATTTCACTCCTAGGGGTTTAAGGAACTCCTCTGTCATCTTAAATATTCTACATTTCAATTGTGCAACAAGTGAAAGTTTGTTCAAGCAGTAATCCTCAAACCAAGCAGCTGGTTCCAAATTTTAAAACTATACTCATTCCCATTTTTGTATAAATTGTTCCTCTGTTTTTCAATTCTCTTTCCTTTCCTGAATCAAGGATGCTTCAATGCAAAATATACTGTGAGTAATCCATCTAAACTTCTTAATGAATGGGTACGGGCGTAAAAAAAAAAGATGAAGCCGTGTTGGGCCAACACAAGGGTGTTACGAAAGGATATCTTCTGGATCCCCACAAAATTCAATATCTTTGCAATGATGACATTATAAACCTTGGTGAAGGGGAGTCCTGATCCCTGATAGGCAAGAAGAATGTTCCCCCTGGAACATTCAGATTATCCTGTTGCATCTGAAAGATCAAATGCCTCGTCAATAAACTCTGTTCTTCTTTCCCCAACTTGCTACTTTTAGATTC